GGATCACAGTACTGCTATGAAATCGTTATCAACCAGCGGTTTTCAACCTATCGATCTACACAAACCGTTCTTTCGGCATAATTTTGAAATTATAAAATGCTGCAATAAAGTTAAGCAAACCCTGCACACCTATTGAGAACTGTTAAAAATCAGGTATGACAATTCCTCCGAAAAGGCCACGAAATCGTGACTGGGGATACCCTTCATAGGGATAAAAGGTAATTTATCTGAGAACAGTGGTCTAAATGACTACCTCCACTATAACTCGCTAGTGGTTCCAGTGATGCATTGCATAGAAACGATGTTACGTAATCAATCCAAAGTCTAAGTTCTACGAATAAAGGAACATGTGTAGAGAGGTGGTTCAGCGGTCCTTCATATCGAATTCCTACGTAACTTTCAAATGACCCAAATTTCACTACTGTCCAAACATCGATTAACTGTGGATTGCTTTGAAACGAGTCTTTGTTGGAAAGCTTCCATGAATGAGAAAACCATGTCTTATTACTCGGCTAGACTAGCATGCGCAAAGAAGGATGTGCTCGCAAATAGGGAACTTGTCTTTTTAATACTGTGTTGGATAGGGTATGACAGCATGCAATCTGTCTTGAACTTTTTCGCATCAGACTTTAACATCAGATTTCAATGAATGACAGTCATAAGTTCAAGCATATCTGAAAGATCGTGGGTTTTCGTTGACTTTCCTGATAAGGATTGAGTTCAGTACGTAGCCGGATCTTCTAGAACCGAAATTTAGTGCGTCAAACTTGAAAAGTAGGCATTACCACGACAGTAATATATAGTGTTCAATTCTATCAAGATGTTTTAAGATTCATTTGGAAACATTACTAGGGAGGGCTGTGCTGTGTCCCTATTTCAAACCCAAACAGTAATAATATTAATGTGTAATATAACGTGCAAGTGATTCAGATAGAAGCAAGAGTTTGAGGAAACCAGAAAAGGAAACGAGTGCAGAATTAAGTTGCCTCTCCCTGACATGGGTGTAATTGAACATGAGCATTCGATTTTCGCGAAAAGATGTAGTTGCGAACCCTTATGTTGCAAACAGTTTTGTCGAATTTCTAACATGTGCGCGAGTAATCCCAACAGCCATCTACGCGTCAATCTGTAAGATTTTTTCAGCTCCGATTTTAACCTTCTTTTCAAGTCCTACAGATCCGGTCCGCGGCGTTGAACGTGCATGGAGAAGCACCATTTTCTTGCATTCTATGTGGACCGCCTGGTTGAGCTACCCGCAACACCAAGTTCGCTTGAGAAGAGAATACAGCTCGGAAAAGCCATTCAGCAGCTTCTGTCCGTGGAAGCTTACAAGATCTACCTGCTCGATGCCGCAAGGGGTTCAATAGACAAAGGGCATTCGAAGGCGGTTGGAAAAGCAAATAATATAGGAAGAAAGTGCAGAAGTGGGTGCCATATAAACTAACAGAAGAGCAAGGACATGAACGTCTTAATTATACTCTGCGTGGAATGAGTTTGAGCGGCCCGCCTCACCAGTGCTATTCTTCGACCGACTTCTATTCATTTAACTTCTATTTTTACCAAGACCTCGAACCTGTGCCAACACGATTACCAATATGGGGAAGATATCTAAAGCTATTCTTCAGCTCAGCGTTTCTTGTGGTCCACGTTTTCACCGGGACGGCATTCATTTACTACATTAATGTTGGCAATTATGCGCTGCTTCTGATGGTGCTTACTCTGCCTTATAGAAATTCGTTTGAGGTGAGTTATGTCTTGAACTCAAAGGAGCAAGTCCGCATTAACGTACATTCAACATTTGTTCGCTACTGAGGTACCGAAGAAAATGACCCAAAGGAAGTTTCTATAATAAATGGTATATCGGGTCGTGGTCTTCTGGTCTCTCCAGTAGTAACGGTATCCATCTTACGTCCAGATTGAACTTTTTTTCATCACTGAAGATGACCTAGACGGAAAACATGTTATGTTATGTTTATTACGCTGCCTAAGGCAAACGCAGTAAAAAGAAGCTTCTAAAATCAACATAATAGACCAGGCGAAACAGAGTTAAAAGCGGTAGACAAAGCAAACTTAGACGATAACCACACAACACATAAGCAGCATCAACCCAGATATTATATAAAGACACAAGTATGGGATCATTTGATCAATCTCAGAAAACTAGGGAAGCTCATGCTTGGTTAGAACCACTGTCATTTTACGCTTGAACCTATTCAAAGCCTCGGGGACGATCACATTTTTTGTTACTTTTAAGTACAGACTACCAGCTCTGAAAGTGAAGCTTGTGGCTCTCAAATTGGTTTTAGGCCCAGGCAGAATAATTTTAGTCTGCCCACCTCTCGTCCGAGAATGCGTTTTGTTGTAAACGTCAAAGGCGCCAAAATCATTACATTGGTACAGAAGTTTGTGAACCATGCACACATCGAACACCTTGCGCTGCGAATCCAATGTTGAGAGTTCAACATATCTGTTACGAATGGAGGCTCTTGGAATACCAGAATAAAAGAAGCATCTACATCGGAAAAGAATTTTACGCGTGAAGTTATTTTGTACTTTTTCAAGGGCAATGACGTCCTTCCTCCGGCTGGGATGGAACACTGTTTCACCACTCTCAACCAGAGGACGGACATATGTCCTATAAGCTTTCAGAAGGATTGACTTGTTCGTGGTAGACCGTTTCTTGAAAATGTGCGACGTGCGCAGTAATGCAAGCTTACACCGAGCGCGAATGTGCGTGGAAAAGTCGAGAGCGCTGGTATAGAGAAAGTCTAGATCCCGTACACAGTTAACTCGGGAAATGGTAACACCATCCATGGTATAGGTGCAGGAGAGAAAAGGGGAAAGATTGTTGCCGATCGTCATATACATCGCTTTACGCGGGGCCAAGGGCAGCTGCCACCGCTTAGCCCAGTCGCTCAACAAGTTAATGGCCTGTTGTATCACCTCTCGGTCCTTAAGCCCGATAACGACTTTATAAATCTTTACATCATCAGCATACATTTTCGTTACAACATGTAACCCATCGAATAGACTAGGTAACTCCGCAGTATACAAATTAAACAGGACCGGAGAAAGAACCCCACCTTGCGGGACTCCACTCAACACTCTCACGCTATCGGAGTATGCCTGCCCTACTCGGACTTGAAAGGTTCTGCCTTGTAGATAATTAGAAATCCATTCTACAAGAATAGGATGAAACCCCCAGGCTCCTAGCTTGTGAACCAGTTTATTGTGCGACACTCTATCGAAGGCTTTTGCAAAGTCAAAGTATATGACGTCACAGCAACAGTTATTGTCAAGCGCAGTAGTCCAGACATCCAAGCTCTCAATCAAATTTGTCTCGACCGACCTCCCTGGGATAAATCCATGTTGGGCTCGCGGTATGATTCCATGAGCGGCAACATACCTGAGAATAAGCTCCTTGATAGTTTTTTTCAAAGAGTCTGCAGAACAAAGATGTGATACTGACAGGTCGATAGTTTGCCGGGTCCGATGAAGGTTCCTTCTTAAGAACAGGGGTGATGAAAGAGTGCTTCCAGCGTTGAGATACTTCTCCACTCATAAGTGACTGATTGAAAATATACGCCAACGGCTCAACGATAACATCAGCTATATTCTGTATGAAAACCAGCGGTATGAAGTCAGGTGTCACAGACGTAGACCTAGGCCAACGCATGATCCGCTCATACAACTGATCCCCATAGAACCATGGCACCTCATTCATGGTATAGATAACAGACGAAGGAAATTCAGGAACACTAAAATCATCACTCGTGAACGACTTCGAAAAGTGATCAGCAAACACGGTGGCCTTGTCTGCTGGACTACACGCTCCTGAGCCTCTTCAAACTAATCCGAGGAAGAGAACTCAGTTTTCCTGAGCAAACGAAGAAGAGCGCGAGGTACCAGGGGCCTCCACGTTATCCTCCACTGAGTGAGAAACACCCAATGTAGGAAAACGGTGCCCTCCCTCATTCTTACTTTGACGTAGCGCCCGCCTTCGCTCACGCTCCTCTTTAGTGAGGGATTCCCTTAAGAAGATGCCTCGCTGAGGAAAATAGCGAAGGCGAGACGCCCTCTTCGAAATCATTCGTTGAAAAAAATGTGAAGGAAGAATAACTTTCAATAACCTACTCCTATCTTGTGATGGTTTCCCCATCCTATATACAGAGATGGGGTTACATTCCACTCCTAGGTAATCAAAAACATTACACACACGGTGAAAATCCATTGACAATTTATCTCTCAAATTAGAGCTCACAGGCTCAGGAATCCCGCTGACTACAGTACTACGTTGTCTTTCAATCTCATGATACGGCAACACTGAATCATGGGTAGTGTTCGCTACAATAACACGTTGATGCGAAGATAAACTATCATGAGCACGAGGATCAACACTGACCTCAGATCGATTAGCACGTAAACCCTTAATTTCACTCTTCAAGTCAACATTTTCAGACCTAAGGAAGCTAATCTGATTCATCATTGCACTCAAAACTTTTTTGACGGCATCAGAGACACCCCGCGATTTGTTTATCTTCTCAACTTGACTCTGAAGCTCCTTCCACGAAGCTTCTTGACCAAGGATACAACCTTCTGCTGTACTATCCGAGGAAACCATGGCCATATCCGTGTCACGAGACAGCAGGCAAAACGCTGATGAGGTGGCAAGGATACTTCAATACAATTGCTCAGTTGCCACCCTGAGCAGAGCAAGGCAGTCCAAAATACAATAAGCAGGACACCAAAAAAATTTCCACCAGACCGTCCGAACCAGTAGAGATAATGTGAGCACTCGGCGAGATATCGGTAGACCACAAGGATCGATGAATGTGCGTCTGTACTTGTGGCAGTAACTTCACCAAAGAGATTTGCTCTGCTGCCACCCAGAACACCGCGGAAATGACTGCAGTAGTTAGATAGAAGTAAATAAATAGAAGAAAACACTAATTAATAAGTGAATTAGTGGGTGCAGCGGGAGCTCGATAGATAGCCGCCGCGCAGGCCGGTGCAATGTGCGCGAATGCCGAAAACATGCAGAAAATGATGTTTGAACTTGACTCCAAAATCTCTCGAAAAGTTGTACCTTGTCCCACGAAGTTATCATGTTTCTGCGTGCAAATTCCAGCCTTGCGTTTTTGTGTTGAGCATTTAGACGGGCGCCTTTTCCATTACCTCTCGTGTTATGTGCTCGTTTGATCCAATTGACCGTGATATCGTCATAATCGAGACCGCCAATCCCATCGAAGCACGAATATGACTCAGAGATAAGGTAGAATTCGAGGCCATTCGAGCTATTCTTCTGTGATCTTGAGCTGTCAAGCTTCGAGGTCGTCCACTATTCGAGCTGAGCGGTAAGCACTGCAATTTTGAATGTACATTTTAATGAACGTAGGAGAGTGTCCGAGCTGACGTGCAATTTGTCTATTCGAGTGTCCGGCTTCATGAAGAGCCCTGGTTTGCGCTTGTTCTTCTTCAGAGAGAAGCTTACCACGAACAGGCATGACGACAGAACGGGTATTTCATAAATGACCGGAAATGCCTTGGAATTTCCGCGCCAAAGTCGGATCTAACTCCGGTGTCCAGATAATTTTGTTACAAGGAAGACTTTTTCCACAAATCAAAATAAAGTAAGAGCCATTCAAAATTTCTAAAAGAACAGGTATTCCTAGGTTTTTGCAACGCAGGATTCAAATAGTATAGGTTTTACTGTTCAAAATTCACTGTCAAGCCTGGTGAACCATAATATTGGGGGTCCACATACTTTTGTTATGCACTGTATATTATACAAACGACAATTCAATCCACGCAACAAGCTTTGCTTTATCTGTATTCCTGCACGGAAATGGTTGATTAAGAATACCATTCAATATTTTATCTATGACACGAGATCTTCAAAGAATTCGTAAGCAGTAAATCGAGCAATGCAATGACTCAACAAGCCTGAAATCGATTACAGAAACGGCGAGCATGAGCTGCTATAAAAGGGTTGGACGAAGCAATCACAAGTTCAACCGATTTCATTGTACAAGGGGAATGCCTATATATCCTATACATGCACCGAAAGATCTGTGGGGGGTGGGGGGAGGGAGTGTCAAGTCCACCCTTTACACACTGCTTTCAAAAGTCAAAGCAACATCGCTGTCGAGCAATGTGCACTTTCATGGGTCTACTCGGACGATTCTCAAAACTAACGCTCTTGATTTTCGCGACCTGGGAAGCTAGGAGCAAATATGGGTTTTGAAGCCAAAAAAGAGGGATTACAGCCGAGCCAAAGAACTAATATTGATGCTCAAATCTTGTCTTCAACAAGTTTGACGTTACAGTACAACTCGTGGCATTGTAGTATTATCCAACAATTATATACTAAGAATAGGCATCACGTATGCTTTTGAAAGAAAGAGGTAGTGAGCAAGTCGATGGGCTAACGTAGGTCAATAGTTAGCGGTCGAGTAACTCAATCGCAAACTAGAGGCAATTCGGCCATCTATTATGAAAATTCACGTATTTTGATGATGTACCACAACAATTTTAGTGAAGCAAGAGAATCCCCATTGAATTACAATTTGTCATAGAATTTTTCTGCTCGTGGTCCTGTAACTTCTCTGAAAATGGATACCATGATCATTTGCCAGGCCTCATCTTGTATAAGATGGTACCAGAGTCTTTCCGAGATAATAAGATGCAGTATTGCAGATATACGATACTGCAATAGAGATAAAAGTAAAAGATCGAAAGTTGCAGACTCCTCCGACTTTTTTCATTTAACTACTCATTTTTACTTTTTAGATGGGACATAAAATAAAGAGAAACGGACCTGCGTTCCGTTTTTACATTACTTGATCCTTCGTCGGAATTTACGACAACATAGCGACCATTTCTGCCGTAGTGAGCAGCTGCTCTGCGCGAATCCTGCACAAGTGTTGCACCATTAGGATTTTGAAAGACAACACCAAGCATTTATGACGATTTAAGTTTGCGTAACCTTTATAAAAACTAAAAATGGTGGATGATAAGAATCGAGTTCCACAAGTGCTTACTTCTGATTCATCTTTTTGAAGACGCTTTTGAGCATGAGATATGACTGCCTTGAAAATTCAAAACATTACTGGCCACTACCTCAACAGCTTCCAGAAGAATAGGCCTAATAGCATATCGTTGAGCTATACATGGAAATTAATCTGATTACTGAAATATTCTAGTTCTGCGAAAACTATTTCCGAATCATGCCTAACTAGTCAGTGGGCTCACGAAGTGGTTAGTCAAAAGCGTTATGGATTCCACATATTTTTTTATGCGTCATGCTCGCTCTATAGCGCAATATGATATGCACAACTCTCGCCCATTCTCAAAAACGGAGAGCAGTGAGCGATGTCTTATCGTCTCGTTATACGTCGACATTGCACTTTATCTTCCTAGAATGCATAATCAGATCCTTGATGCATCCTATGGAAGCGCTCGTGCGTTGAATGAACAGATTTCTAGTCCTTCTCCCTCCGCCTCTTTTGTCCTGAGATTTTAGCAGCTAGCTCTTACGAGCGGTCCTACCCGACGCTACTGTACTGGGTCTCCCTCAGGTACAGTGGTATAAGACCCGTTCATGTTACTGCTTTCGGCATATGGGTACCTATAAATAGCTTGCCAGGCTTTTATGTGGTATGTTGCTGTATGCCAGGCAATCCCCGGGTGGACCAGGCGCTCCGTGCAAGCTTTTTGTTGAGCTGCTATGCAGAATGCCAGCCTCACCGACAGACTCTCTATGCACGCATGCATGGATAGACCTGCAAAGAAAGAAAAGGTATTCTCTACATAGCAGAAACAAGAAGACCGTCTTCAGAGCCTTTGAGCAGATACTTTTTTTAGCTCGCCACTATGAGTAACCGAATAGGAGTCTTTCAGTGAGAGAACCCCAGGTGAAGGAGATCAGTAGTCTTAGTAGCATAGGATTAATCATTACTTGTTAGGTTTCTGGAAGCATCTGGCAGCACCACTTTTTCGCTTTTCTTTATCTATCCACTTCATTACAGCCACTGCCTGCAACTATAATCCTTCACGCAAAAACCTTGTAAGCACTCCACAGCACATGAATAAGTATATGTATATGTATGGTTTTCGTTTTACTCGAATTTTCCTCGAAAACTGAAAAAACGAAAATCGCTAAAAACGAAAAAAGTGTCTCTCAGCACATACGGTGTTACTTGCTGATACGTCAGCGTCGTGTTCCTTCCATTACCATTGATAACTTCGTTATCAGCTTTTGAAGTTCATTAATAGCGATTCATTCGAGAAGAGCATGAAAGCTCGATTATTTTGATACCGACACTGCTGACGTAATTAGACAATATCAGCTGAAATCAGTGGTTCGATTGACCAGAGTTCTATAAATTTGTTACTTCTTTCCGGCCATCTATTTGAATGGATTTCCGATGAATGGTCTCTCTTATAAGAATGCTGTAGTATAATAGGTTTCCGATTTTCTCGAATTTCGTAGCTTCATTTCCACGGAAATGAAAGAATGGATTTTCAAGTACAAGAGGTGTTGCCTGCGGATGAGCATCATTGTAAACCCTCCACTTCAATTGATAGATCCATTTTCAATTTTCAAAACCCACATGTGAACTCATATTCAAGAAGATCGTGAATTCATTTAATTTCAATACCCTCCATGACAAAGTTCAGACAGTTTCAACTGAAAACAACGATTGAAATCACTGATTTTTCAAACATCCGCGAGTTCTTTCCACAAATGCAGTTCGAGGGAAACGAACTAGTTTTGCACACATTGGTCATGTTATACAAAAGTGCCTGCTAGACCAGTCGCAGGTATGTGGTCAACACGAGTTT